CAGTCAACTGCCTATAATTCGACCGCTTGCGTTCCGAGGTTATCGATCGAATTAACGTACAAGTCGAATTATCGTCAAAAAATGTTCTGTAACCAGCGGTCGAATTATCGGCAGTTGACTGTAGTTGTTTCACAATAAGATATTTCCCAATTTGTGACACAGTTTGGCCTATGAGCATAAATTAAGATATCGTAGATTCGGAAATTGCAAATACAATCTTGGTAATACAGCCAAAGCTCGAAAAACGATATTTCTCGGAGCTACGCAGAAATCTAGGAGGAATATTTGAGGAATATACTTCATAATTAACATTAATCTATTATCGTTTGTAAAAGAGACATATTTTATACAAATTAAAAATTTGTGAAATAAACCGAAATCTAAACTTGTGAAAACGAATAAGGTCAGTATTAGTGTGTAAGTCACGCTGTTAGATGATGGAACACCCATTGGGTGAGACATAACATTTTCAAATATTCTAGTGTAGATACTAATATCTGAAAGACGTTTCTTCGGTTCGTCTAGTAAGGTGATATAATGAGACATTCATATACTTACCTTTTTATCTAAATTTCAGATTGATAATCGAAATTTCCGTATCCAACAAATTGGAATTCGAGCAACTTTATCGCGTACCTCGATACACAAGTTTTGACTGATCGAACTGAATTTACTGGCGATGGTGGAATTGACATATATGTGTCATTTCATGAAATACCGATTCTGATTAAATGTCTTCAAAAAGAAGTTTCAGTTGGAATCGTTAGAGGGAACGTTAACAAATACAAATTAATTAGGATATATTGTATCAAAGAATGGATTCTCAAAATCAGCAATTCTACATGCTGAAAATAAATCTCAAATTATTCTAGCTTCCGAGAATGATGTTTGTAATAAAATTAGAAACTATTATTATAATGATAACGAGCTTGTAACCGTCGCTTCGCTGAAGGTCTAACTGCATGCGTAGCGCGTAACTGTCAATAATACGTAACTTACAGGGCATAACGACGGACGAAAATAAACTATTAAGCACTATATATTAATATATAATCATAAGTCAACCTCGATAAGTCGGCCCAGGTGGGCTGGGCTATTTGACCGACTTATCGAGAACACGTGACCTAACCGAATTAATTGTAAAAAAATTATCTAGAGTAGTTTGTTTCATTGAATTGTTTCTTTTTTATTTGATTTTGTAAGTCTCTTATTTTTAATACTAAGGAACAATCTATGCTAAAGTCATTCTGTTGTTGTAAATAACTCAATATATTTTCGACACTTTCTAAAGCCGTCTTATTTGACACCGGTAATAGATATAAATCGTCGTTGCTGTCACACACTTCCTCAGCTGTTCCTTGATGATTTCATCATCATTTACACTGTGTAACGAAAATAATGGCGGTTGCGAAATCAAAATTGTTTTTGAAATAAATGATGAAACACGTTGTCTATCATGGTCCACATATTTTTATCAGCTTGTTTATGTCTCATTGAAGATATTACCAAAGGAAAGGCTTTGTTGACTTCTGCTTTAATTTTGAGAACTTTATAAACCATGTTACAAGGCATGAAGGTTGAAATTCACAACATTTTACTTTACTTTCGGATTATACCCAGCAATGCTTATTTGTCAAATAAAATTACATTCAAAAATGAGTGTTTATCTTTTTCCATTGTAAACAATCTCAAAAAGCCAAAAGATACAAACATTTTAGAGCATGACAGGAAAACTTCTGTCGGATCAGAAGTTTTATATGTAACATACCAAAGAATAAACCGCGGGAGAAACAAAGATTATCTTGTAATAAACCGACTGTTTTATGTAAACATATTACAATTCAACGGAATGACTACTATGTAAAGCATTTACAGTGAAGATATTTCTCAGAAAATTTCGGAAAAATAGACAATGAATTTTTGTGTGCAACGAATGATAATAAGATTATGTATTAAAATTTTCTATATCAAATAAGTACCTAATATGCTATCTAACAAGACTGGTTGCTTTTAATTATTCCTTGGAATTGTTGAAATGTGCAATTTCTTGTCACCGCCATTATTTTCGTTACATAGTGTATGTCAAATTCCTCCAGAAAAAGATGAACAAAAAGCAGTTGAATGGTGTCAAAAAGCAGCTGAACAAGGAGTTGCCATTGCACAATCTAATCTTGCTGTTTCTCGATGGCTGTAAGAGTTTTTAATATTCTTCCCTTTTTACTACCACTTTATTAGAGTTAACTACGGTAGATTCCATTTTGCAATTTATAATATCGTTGAAGATAGCATCAACGTTCTTTTATTTACAAAAACGTGTAAATTTTAGTTTTCTAGTGACATCATTTTTATGTCATTATGACACACGCACGAATAATTATTTGGTATTTTTGAGCCGTTGGCCGACTTATCGAGGTTGACTTGTATTATATAAAACATATAAATTTATTATTCAGTTAAATATCGTAGTCCTAGAGCAAGGAACATAAAGTTGGTCATGAGAAAATACTGGAGTCGGCAAATAAACTCCTACATAATTTAAAGTTTACATCTTGTGCTTTATTGATGGTCATGGCAAAGGCGGGTTTAAGTACAAAGGCAAAATTTGGACCAAAAAAAGGCACGTGATCCAGAAAACTTTTCTGCATTACACTGTATGCATTTTTTTACCCCTAAAATTTGGCACGCGACACACAGATTAATTGTGATTATAGTCACATGATACCGATCCATTATAATATTACATATTGACATACGAACTCGCAATGATTTAGATAACGAGTTTTATTTACTTGTGCTCCACTTGCAATGGTAACTTTCCAAAGGCTCAACAAACGTGGAGATCAAAAGAAAACATATAGATTCTATAGATTCTACGAAGATTCGCAAACTATAGAAATAGCGTCTGCTGATGAGTGCTTGTCATCTGTAGACAAGGAATCTTTTCACCTCGAAGTAAAGTTTCTTGTTACCACATATAAGTATCCATATCTACGAGAAAGGGTTCATGTAATCTTATCCCCTTCTTCCACAATATTCAAAGAGCGCCTGCCACAGTGTTAAGTGTTGGAATCGATACTCGCTTACCTGCTATTGCTTCCATTTCCACAACCAATTCATCCAAAAACCAGTCTACTCTTTCCTCTACAGTTTCTTCAGATTCTGTTATCGAGTATATGTTAAGTTTTATGGAAAAATCCAACGAAGACCTTCATGTCCCTGTCTTTGAACACCTTGGAAGCACCTCTAAAGGGGTATATCTACGCAATTCCATCTCCTAAAGTTCCTTAAAGTCTTGCATATGCCTGAATAGCTCATATAAAGAAGTTCACTAATCCACTGTTTACTATATCTGTCTTGATACAAGTAAACTATCCTCCGCCTCAAGTCTTCGCTAAATGAACATCACATACTTAAAACAGCGTTTATAACAAGAACACCATCTTAGAATCGCTTGAAGTTGAATTGTAATCACCTGTAATCACCTGTAATCAGTTCATAATCGGCTTGTAATCTCGGGTTCCACTTTCACAAAGGAAGTTGTAACTTGACACACTGGTCTCTACAAGCTGCAAGAAGGTTAGGCAGTCGCGGAAAGTAAGACTTGTATTCACTATACCTATAGAATTTCTTATAATAATAATCCGCGAATGTCGTTTTTTTTTCTGTCCCATGGACAAGGTGGGACAGCATTTTAAAAACGGCGATAATATATATATAGATGATAACAACAAAATTATGATAATTTATGAAAAACACAAGATTTATAATTTAGAAATTTCATTAGATCATGAGGAATTTAAAATATACAATTTCATTACTATAACTGGGAAAGGAAAATCAACAATTCATATCAGGAAAATGAGTAAATATTATTCCATTATTTATGTAATAAAAAAGATGTTGAGAATTTTTATTTATAAATAATTATATATAAAAACATAAAAAAAATTAAACACATCTCCCTATTCTCTTGTAAAAGCTTTCCATTATCTCTCCAAAGTAATTCATTTTCTCTCTGAATCATCACATTCTCCATCCATACTTACTAATTGATCATTTTTGATTTTTTGCATTGGATAACAAATAAGATTTTTTATAAACTGCAATGATGTCAACTCCCCTGTCACCACCATCCTAAATCCTCACACATTCAGTAGCAATGATGGATGGAGATGAAAATGATATGACTATAAATAGGATCTTGAAGCTTTGATCTCTCTGCACCAGGCATTGGTTGGGAAGAGCAAGATGAGGATCTGAAAAAGGGTTGTTGTTATTTCTAAAATTGTTTCATGGAGTTCACAATTCTGACTTGAAAGATGCCTGTACTTTGGTCTTTTTATTTTGGCAAAGAATAAAAGTTTGCATCCATAAAATTTACTTCTCAGTTAATGTATTCAGTGTCATAAAAATTTGTAAAACAATATTGCATAATCAATAAATGCATACAGAGCTTGTATATCTGCTTGCACAGTTCAATATTGTAGACTCTATGGTAGAGCTATCTGGTATCTCTGCCCCATTGGACAAATCAGTCAAGTATGTGAGCACATCTCATGCTGCCCCTTGTGGCTTGAGTACACCTTTAGTGTTCAATTGTAGGTGTAAACAAATAAAGAACGCAAAACTCCTTGTGGCTTGAGCCACTTTGCTAGTACCAAGAAATAAATGTACCATTGGATACTTTCCAACTCTATCAATTTGCATAAAGTTTAAAACCTAATGCATTTGTTTTATCTGTAAGGATGATGTATTAGTGGCATTCAAATTATTATGCATTAATTCATTTTTTACTTACATGTTGCATCACAAATTAATGAGCTTCTTTTAAGAGAGTTTAACCGAGTATCGTTCTTTTTGTGTAAGTCTTGAATTTGCTGAGTTCACCAATAATGAACTTGTTTCTGGGTAAGGACAGAATAAGAAGGCATCACCATGGAAAGGGAGCCCTTAATCCATCCTCACTACCGTCGTTGACTGGAGTATTTCCTCGGGCAATGAGTTGTCTGCTCAATGCAAGATAACGGTATAACTTCATCATAGCCGTCGGAAATATGAAAGTGTTCAAGTATTTTGATTAATAGTTCTCTGCTGTGTGAGGAGAAGGAATGGCTTTGAATTATTACATGTTGGATCTATTGGGTGTTTATAATGAAAACGAAATGAGCCAGCGTCACTATTGATACTTGATATTACCATTCCTGATAATAATAATAATGTTTCATACCTTCACACACACTGATGTACCTGCTATCACTACTCCTGCCGCTATTAACAATATTACTTATATAAGATTTGAAACGGGCTGTACGTGTTTTCACTCTCTTAGCGCGATATCACGTGATCCAAAGTCAATGCCAAAGCTTCAACACAATTAAAACTCTTACCATTCAGTTCTTTCTTGATTCAGGAAAAATTCACAAAGGAGCAAAGATATAGCAAAGAGATAGAGATATACTACAATGTGGTGAAGGGAAAGCGGACCGTGAACGTTTTATCAACCCGACAACAGATGCACAACGATTGGTCAAAAAATATAAGTTGTAAATAATAGATAATAGTCGACCAATCAAATTTTTTTATACTTTTTTTTATTGCTGTACAAACCCAATTCGTTGGTCTTCCTCTTTCGAATCCTCTTCGCCTATCTCAAATTTAGGGAGTATGGTACGTCGTGTGCATTGTAATGTCCCTGTCTGACAGATACTGTTTGCGATAATTCTCGCGCATTCTCTAGTCTACCTTTAAGCGGTTGGTCGAAGTTGGTCGAGTTGTCTTTATCAACTATGGCGAGCATAAGGGAAAGCTTGCTGTTATCGTGGATATAGTAGACCACAATAGGGTATAGTTATTTCTTGGAGAATTTAGTTTCTCTTTTTTATCTTTGTCGTTGCCCAAAATCATGATCTAATCTTCTTGATGATAGGCTCTCATCGATGGTCCGTTAGATGATGTGCCTCGACAGTCTTTAGCATTTAGACGTTTGGTATTGACCGATATTGTGATCCCAAAACTACCAAGAGGAGCCGGTTCGGCAGTCATTAAGAAACTCAGTGAGAAGGAAGATCTTCATGGCAAATGGCAGAGCACTGCATGGGCTAATAAACTAAAGATTCGTGCAAGAAGAGCTGCTCTGACTGATTTCGAACGATTTAAGTTAATGAAATTGAAAAAGCAGGCAAGTATGGAAAGAGACCGATGGTTACGACATATGATGGTAGCAGTTACGGTAAAGCGAACATCAAGTCTGGTTTGTATAGGAATGTCGATCTAACTTGATTACTACCATACCATTACAGCGACGTTATTTACTACAAAAGGAAGTTGCTAAATTGAAAAAGAAATAATGAATAAATTCATTCTGATTAATTAAAAAGCACAATGAAATTTTGATCTCTGTATACCTGGCAAATTAATTTGAGGTACGAGTAGTCGGCAGGATTACGCAAAGTACTTGTAACAATTAAATTGTGTGCTATTAAGGACAGAAAAGTTAAAGTATGCGGGGAAAGGGTTGCGGCATTGCAAAATTGCGTTGATGTGAAACTCAACATTGTAAATTGCTCAACGAGATCTTTGTGTGAAGAGTTTAAAGGTCTTCTAGTCAGTCGATTCATCTATTAATAAATTACCCGTCGTAATACTAAATTAAGCGTCAGTTCGAAAATTATTTGAACTTTCTAGTATAAATTCTATGCAAAATATCGTCAGTTTACGAGGAACTCTGTCTTTCAACGCCACCTCATTGGTCGACTAGGATACGGATCCATCGAACAACCGGTTAATCATAATCTCCAACTGGCCTGGCTCATATCTAATATATTTGGATTGATTCTTGGAGAACTCTGACTGTCGATACCTATTTTTGAAGCAGAAACGTTTAGATTATAGCTTAGAAGATCGTCTCTAGTTAAACGGTCTGTTAGATTACCTCTCCAGGAATCTGTTATACATCGGAAGTAATACAGCTCTAATGTCGTTTACAACCTTATGGCGTAACTCAGGATCAGGAACAGTAAATGTCTTGTGGTATTTATATAATTCATCAAATTCGTTGTTAAAGTTCTGCGTTTTAACAAAAATTAGCATTAGAACCCATTCTTCATAAGATACAGATTACGCATTAGACGAGATAACTTACTTTGAATCGTTCTTTTGCAGATTGCTTATCTGATCCAATTGAGGATTTCAGCGCTCCACCTCGTACATATGTGTAATCCATAAGAAAGCCGAAACATACTTTCCACCTATTATCAAATATTAATAGTAATGATCATTACAACTTTCTATCTATAACTTAGAGACCAAACATGCTTACGTGTCTTGATAGGAATCATTGTTTTTCTTCACTGCCCTTTCAAACTTTGTTTCAACCTCTTTGTCAAGTAGGGGCACATACTGAGTACGTATCGACTTGAGAACGTAATGGTAATTATTGAGGAGGAAGATGTAAGTCAATGCAGATTTCTTGTAGGCCTTGGCTCTATTTTCGAGACCGGTTGCAAGTGCATCGAGACAGTCGGCTATGTAGAAAGCAGAAGAATGGTTAAACAGAGCGTAAACAAACGTGTCGGAATCTTGACGATTAGGACGGATTACAAACGCTATCATACCAAAGTAACGACGCACAATCGTACTCCCAGCTGTTGATCTATCACGCATGAAATTCGCCTCTTTATCCGAGACATGCCAGTTACCGTCTCCTAGTGTTACAAGCATCGCTTCCACTGTCTCTGGATAGTCTTCCAAGCGTTTCATATGTTGTAATGTCTTTGTTCAAAATATTATCAAAAGTGAAATCGTAATAATGATTAAATTGTATAGTGAACAAGATAAACGTGGTTTACACGAATGATGGCAAATCGTGCCCAAGAATGCAGACCGATTACTGTTGATAATTACTTACCGTTATTGTAATTTCATGCACCGTCCCATCAATGGGCACACCCAAGAGTTTCGTAGGAGGATTCTATTCAGAGCTGAGCTTAGCCACTACATTTTTGTACGTGTTTCTTAACTATGCGAACAAACCTTAATCTCGTCTATGAAATCAGCAAACGATCGCATTGTGATTCCACGTATGGAATGCGTGAGTTCTCCGTATCCAACGTCTTTGCTTCCGGTGAGCTGTTTCAGCAAACAGAGGATAAGATATTATTAAAAATACGCATGCCTCGACAACGAAATTCTTGTCATCAATGGATTTCCTACCTACCCTAAACAGCTCATCGAATGCAGGTTGGTTTCTAGTCAAAGTTTCCAACATATCAAAAGCCAAAAAGACATCTGTAGACATATTTTTCTTGACTCTACTCGTCAGCGTTTTTCCAACTTCTACAAACGAGTCAAGGGCTGGTTGTATCGCGCCGCGAAAGCCTGCTGCAACAAAGGCAGACGGAAGAATATTTGACGATATCATATATTCTGCCTACGAGATTTAAACCGGATTTATTTAGAATTTGAACTCTACTATTATATATACAAGTCGCTATACAGCAGATAAACATTACCTCAAACATTCTAAGCAAGGCTTCGACATATGAAATGAATCCGCAAGTACCCTTTTCGTATACTGTTGTGTTTCTCTTTTCAGCCGTGTTAATTGATCCTTGGGCCAAAGATGTCAATGACTTTTGTAAATATGCAGACCTCACGTCTACATATACTCTAACAAAGTCGCTCGAATATCCGAGCTCAATATCCGAGCCCGCAAGATACGAAGAAAGCCTGGCAAGATTTTCCAATGGTACCGTAGGTATTACTGGCATCTCACGATCTATCGTGACAGCGAGATCGATAAAATTCAGAATGCGAAAATCAAAAGACTAACAATAATGACAGATCCCCCACATACTTTTTAGGATATATGCAAGCGGTTCTATGGGATCACTCCACTTTGTGAGACGTTCGCGAAACAGTTCTTCTAATTGTAGCATCGCTGCCTTTAATAATTGTTTCTGAAAAATATATTAAGGTTTTAATATTCTGTAGATAAACCAAAAAGAGATGCTTAATATTTTTTTTCTTACCAGCTGACCCATCGCTTTCTCGCCGGATCTCAAACGTGTACCGACTAATATTTCCATTGCCCTTTTACACTTGCCGACCGAGTTGAGGTACGACTCTAGATTCTCCTTTGGCCTGTAAAGTTTCAGCAATTGAATAAGAAGAGCAACAAGTTCATGGGAATTGCAAAGCAATTACATAATTTTTGTTATAATACCCTCTCTTTATCGCTTGCTCTTCTCTCTCGACGAGATCAAAATATTCAATAATTTCACTTAATGCATAACGCGTCTTGTCAATATCTTTACCAAAACACTACAGATGTAAGGATTTCTCGAGTGTCATGCCGTATTTGTGTATCAATATGTAAAATCTCGATTAACTTTCTAAAGGATACTATCCGTCAAATGCGTCAAAGCCTGACTTGACTTGTGAATTGGCAGAATTGAATCTTCGAGTCTTACGAGACGAGCATCGAAAACATTTAGCATACCAGTCTGGATGTAATTGAAGAGATAGTTTACAAAGTTAATAGAGGATCTGTTTAAAGATCGCATAAAAGAACTTGCTCGAAAACAGATTCGTAGAAATGGCTTAAAATAGTGACCATTTTTTCAGTCAAGATATTCGTCCTTCGGAGGTTCTCCTCCAAAAACTCTAGATCTGCGTTCTCTTCGTCAAGTCTGTCCATAATAAAGTTGGGTCAAGCGGGTGCATTCCTTCTCATTGTAACGAGTGAGACCCTAAGGTCCTGCATGTGACTAACACGTGATTCGTAAAATTGTTATTGCAGTATTGTAGTAAGAAATTCTTATAATCGTGCATTCTTCCGACAAAATAATCCGAAAATTTCGGTTATTTGTGTCGTACAAGAATAATTTCTATTTAC